GGGGGTGAGAGCATAAAAATTCCGAATTTACCTTTTCACATGCTTTTTTGGACCACCCCAATGTACGTACATAACAAAATAAATGGCATAGATATTTTAAGATCACTTAACATGCCGATGATAATTAAAAGTGCAATATGAAGTAAGTGATTTCCAAGGCGAATTAATATAAGGTGATAGCAGGAGAGCAAAAACAAAAATTTACATGTATTTTGTTTTTGCTTTGGCGGTATAAACTGCCAAAATCTGTAAGTGTGTGTGTGGAAATTCAAACAAAATTTTTCAATTTGACATTAGAAGCCGTGGGGCGAAACACATACACAAAATCAGCTGATCTAGTAACACCACCTTATATAAATTCGCCTTGGTGATTGCTGTGAAATTGATGTATGTACTTACATGAGTGATAGGCCGAGCTTCTCCTCCAATTTGTAGAGTCCGGCTTGAAGTTATCACACAAATGGAGTGACGTATATCTAGTGTTATGTTTTTATGGTCGCATTCATGGTAGCGGCACAACCAGGGGTTTTGTCGTTGCCTGCCGGGAAGCAGCCGCTCCACAGTGCTTGTTCCCATCCCAGACAAAATTCAAATTAAATAAAGTGGTTAGAATATTTAAGTAAAAAACATGTTTGCAAAGCTAACATAGAACCTTTAATAGATTTGGAAGTTTCATTTATCATATCCCCTTTTTACTAACAGCAGAGGGCGCTAAATGCAGAAAATTTCTGAAGTACAACTGTTGAACGGAAAGACGACTTTTACTGTGCGACAAAAAAAATGTCAAAAGTTCAGTTTTTAGTGTATTACTCTGAACCTTGATAGTTTTGTTTACTATATACATACGTACAAAAAACAGAAATAAGTTTTAGTAAATGTTTTTTTATGCAAAAGTGGTTTGTACTATCGAAAACTTCTGAGATATCTTTGTTGGAATTCCAAAAATTGCTAAAGTTTGGTAGAGTGAAGTAAAAAAAAATTAAGAGTACCTAATTTTTTATTTCCTAGTTTGGTACGTTTTGCAGTGCTTTAATAGAATCTGTGAAGAAGTTTTAGATTTTCCTGCCGGAACTGTAAAAATTATATGCATTTTGTAAGCCATTTTTCTTAAGCTTCAGAAAAAGAGGTAAGTTTATGGTTAATATTGCCAAAATTGAAAAAATTAAGGCATTAAACGTTTTAAGAATTTTATTATTTATTATTACTATTTTATTCTATTGTGTTTGTCCGAAGAAGCCTTATTAGCCAGTAATAAAAATATAAGGAATGTGCGATTTTTACATAAAAGGAAAACGACGAGAGATTTAATGGCTCATTGGTTATTAATGTCGGATCTGGAACTATCATCACTTAGGTCTACAAAAAAAAAACAAAACTATGAATTTGAAGAAATTGAGATAACATTTTAAGAGACAACATTATTATATAGATTACATTTGAAACAAGTTATCTGATTTATTGAGGAAATTTTTTATTTATGATACTTTCTAAAAAAAATATTAAATTACAAATTTTTCATGTCCTTGCACCGAACGAAACGAAATTTACCAATGAGCTTAAAAACATAATTTTAGAGTAAGCTACCAATTTGCGCTTTATTCTGCTTATAATTGTAGCTAAAATTAAACTTTTAAAATTCGATATTCGAAACTTCAGATTTTTCTTAAAATACATATTCTGGAGCAGCACACCAAATTTCATTTTTCTGCGATAACTCCCCTAATTTTGCGGATTCACTATTTGGGGGCGAAGCCCTGTGCGCTCTAGATACAACTTTTACTTTGAAATTGACTAGGAATCGATTGAACCTGGCGTCTGCCAAGTGTTGGTACTAACCACTCGACATACATATGTATGTCGCGTATACAAATGCATACATATGTACATACATAGTACCCTGCAGGGAAACCGCGGACTAGTGAATCAAATTTCTAGTTCCGTACTAGGTTTTTATCGCCAAAAAGGAACTAGTCCGATAGGAACTAGATCCCCACCAGTCCAAAATCGGCGAAAAGTGGTACTTTTAAGAAACTAATTTTTTCATTTTTTTTCACTAGAAATCTATATCTAAAGTGACGAATTTAGAAATGGTTCGGAACTATAGAAAAAGGGATGGAGAACGAATTAGATCCTATTTGTCGAATTTAGAACTATTTCGGAACTATCGAATAAGGGATGCAGCGGGGGGCTTGTTTACTTTACATAGATATGTGTTCGGCGGCTTTTTCGTTCAAATACGCTTCTCTTCTGTGCTTCGCAGATGCTATTTCATAGTTTGGTAATACAAAACAAAGCTTTGTGTTAACATATTAACATCTTGGGGCCGTCTGGAATCTAACCAATAACAGCTAGCACCTCTGTAAAGTCAGCTACAGCCAAAGGTATGTAAACGTACATTTCTTAAAATCATTCAAACAAATTTAATTTCAAATTTGAAAAAATGTTTCTTTGAAAAAAATGTAAAATCGCACACGGAAGAACCGAAAAGATTGAAAAATCGTGATACTTTTTTCTTTCGTATGTCGATTTTAGAACAGGTTCGGAACTATAGAATTTAGGACTAGTTCGGAACTATCGAAAAAGGGATGCAGCGGGGGGCAATTGACACTTCCTAGGACATCGCCATGTTAAATTCGCCAGTTGCTTGCATGCAAAAGAGATTTATCGCGAACCAGTACTGGGTCTAAATGTACTAGAAGCGCCCCAGTTCAGAACTAGAGATTTTCCCCACAGGGTACATATGCACACACATACTCATTGATCAGTTCGAAACTGATCTTCATTAGTAAGTACTTTATACTTACTAGGATGCCAATTGAATTTCGTTCATCTTTCAACATCAATCATGGTGCGAAATGTTTATTATATTTTTTAGAACGTGAACTAATCATTAACATAGTACGTATGTAGTACATACTATGTACATTAGGCATATGTATACCTATGAGCAAAGGATGCGGAGTGAGAAAAACCAACTAAAATTCAGTTTCGAATTCGGTATAAAAAGTTCCGCAGCAACCTCCGACAAAGAAAAAAAGTAAGTGCGCTGGGTCACACTGGGGAAGTGAAACTTAGTTACATATCTATTTTGTTTCGTGACCAATATACATAATACATACATAGAATGTACATACATCTGCTTTTGTTCATGGTTATAATTTTTGTCTTTTTTCTATCTAGATCCCTACTTCCACCCTGTTCGTTCTAATTACATTTATGTTTTTTGTATTCGATAGTAATATCAAAAAAACACCGATAACAAAACCGTTGCAAATATCGATAACAAATTTTGATAGCAAAATTGATAATAATATTGGTAGCAAAATCGATTAGAAAATCGATAAAAATATCGATAACAAAATCGATAAAAATATAAATAACAAAATTGGTAAAAATATGGATAACAAAATCCATAACAAACATCGATAAAAATATCGATATACGAACTCGATAAAAATATCGATAAATAAATGTTAAATAATCGATAACAAAATCGCTAAACAATGGATAAGAAAATCGATAAATAACCGATGACAAAATCTACAAAATATCGATAGCAAAATCGATGACAAATTCGATAAAAATTTCGATAGCAAAATCAATAATAATATTGGTAGCAAAATCGATTAGAAATTTGATAAAAATATCGATAACAAAATCGATAAAAATATCGATAACAAAATTAATTGATAATCGATAATAAAAATCTATTAGGAAATTGATAAAAAATATCGATAACAATATCGAAAACAAAACCGGTAAAAACATCGATTACTATATCGATAAGTCCCGAGAATCCCGAAAATCTCTAAATAGTTCCCAGATTAAGTCTCTGTGCCTCTATCTATGTATATCCCTGTCTCTATAATTACCTCTATTTTAATCTTTCTTCCTCTATTTGCATCTTTACACATCCTCATCTTTTTCTTTATATTTATCTTTGTTTTTACTTTTATGTTTATCATTTCCTTCATCTACATATTCGCCTTCACCTTTGCCCAAGGGGGGGATTGATGTTTCTCTGAAGTCCACCGTCAACTAACTGATTGGGTCTTATCATTGTGGCTTTATGCCTAGGAAATCTACCATAGACTCGCGAGAATAGGATCGATTTCGAAGCCGCTTTGCCCTTGATTTGGTTCTATATTTCGATTTCGGAATAGGTTAAAATCCGGTTATAGCGACTTTAAAAAAGGAAGTGTTATTCAAGAAGGGAAACTTGTATGTAATTGTTAAGATTTATGGAAGTTTCATAATTTTTTATGAAATTTTAAATGCGGATTTATGTGTTTGGTAAGTATGTAATGTGCTAGTCTTTTACACCTAAAAAAAAATTATAAAAATTTAAAAACAAAAGAAAAATAGCTAAAACTGGTGAAAATGTCACTTAACTTAATCAGCTGACCACAAGGGTATGTATGATGATCACTTGGCAAACATTTCCATTATCGCCACTTATCACCCACTAGTTATATACACAATATATTCNGTTTTGTGAAAATTGTCAAAAAGTTATTAAAAATATATGAGTGCAAAACTGTAACATATGCCTTAATTTACATTTTTGTCTGCTGGGTTTGTAAATGTTTTTGAATTGACTTTAAATCGTTATGACAGAGGAAGCAAAGATGTACCAATAATAATATACAACAACCGTATGAATGTCGTTAGAACTTGGAAAGATAGCGACAGCTGAAATAAAAAGTGTTACTCCATGTTACAGTTTTGCTCGTCACTGTATATATGTATGTACATTTATACTTATGTGCATACATACATACATATTTATTTCTGTTTCCGCAGACTCTGCTGTTATGTTATCAGCGCTAACATTAACAGTGCAGTTAGCAAGCATACTGTTAATTGCAATGTTAATGTCAACAGCAACAGAGTGCAGCAACAACTAGAATCGTAAATGCGATTTTCCCCAATTTTCCAGTGGACAGCTGTTTTAACAGTTACATATAAACTTGTCGCTTATCACTCGTTTTGCTGTTACTTCTTCTGAGTCGCTATCGGCTTGGTCGGCGATCATTCAGCCATTCAAGCGGTGTGCTCGGCATGTTCCGCTGCACGGTAGAAATTCTCGCCACATATACATACATACATACGTGATTGTTCTGCCTGCCTGGGGTGAATGTGATGAGATGATCGTGCTTTCATTTAATGTTACGTTTGAAACGGTACTTACCGGGTTGATTAGACCGCGTTCTATGCGCGTTGATGAATGCACCGTCGCGAAAGTGAAATAAAAGCGAAATCTGTGGATGTGTTTTTGTGATAAGAATTTCCGAGGAAGAAAAAAGAGAAATACTACATGCAAAAGTAGAAAATTTTAAAAGATTTATTATAGTTGCTCGAGTTTTTGTTTGTGAAAAAAGCAAAAATTTCTAAAAAAAATACATGGTGGTTTGAAACTTCTACCTGCATACACGTACATACATATGCACTTATAATAACGTGTTTAAAAGTATATATTTTTATGCATATTTCATGGACCCACCAAAGTTTATAAAATTTAATGCTGGATTTCGTGATAATGATGCTACTTTTTGGAGCTAAAAAACTAACAAAAATCTCAAGAGCTACGGAAAATATTGTTTAAGAAATAGGTGAGCTACATACATATTTATGGAAGTGAAATAAATTTGTGCTAATATTAAAAAAAAAAAAGTTCTTTTATTTCTAAAAATACAGCGGCGGTCAAAAGTGGATGAATGGTGTTTCCTATTTAATATTTACAATTTTTTTCAAGCTAAAATTTTTTTTGAAGTCTTTTTATAAAAATATGGTTCATGCTTTAACAAAACCCATATAATTCACACTTGCAAACTTTATACAGAATTTAGAAAAAATCCACAAATTTTTATCTAAAATTCGAGCTTTTTAACCAGAATTTTTAAAAATTTTGTTGGGTCTGCAGTTAGCAGGATTATAAAGTTTTAGTAAAATTAGTGCAAATTTTAAGCGGCTAAAAAACCGCATTGATTTTTAATATTTCCTTTTTTGTTGACGGCGTTTTTCACTTTTTTCCATATAAACATGAATTTTTTTGTGGAAGAATATGCACAAGACCTTTTGCGAAAAAAATAAAAAAAGTCAATGCCAGTTTCCCTAAATTTCGCTTTTTATATGAAAAAAAAAAACGAAAAAGAAGTCAGCAACAAAAAATTATTAAAAATCAATGCGATTTTTAGCCGCTCAAAACTTGCACTAATTTTATTAAAATTTTATAGTCCGGCTAACTGCATCCCCAAAAAATTAAAAAGAAATCTGGTTAAAAAGCTCGAAATTTATATAAAAATTTGTGAAATTTTTCTAAATTCTGTATAAAGCTTGAAAATGTGATTTATATGGTTTTTGTTAAAGCATATATATTTTATAAAAAAATATTCAAAAAATTTTAGCTTAAAAAACATTGTAAATATTAAAAACGAAACACCATTCATCCATTTTTGACCGCCACTGTATAGAAACATACTACTAGTTGTTTCCCTAATACCTTTAATGCTTTTTCGCATTGACTAATATTGCAAGGATTTCAACTAATGTGACTAAAATTTGTGTGAGGTGCTCGTTAGAAAAATTATGTCAACACTAAAAGTGGTCCATACATTTTTTAGAAAATAACGGGGACTAGAAAGAAAATGTGATACATAAAAAATAAACAAATAATTTTAAACAAGAAACAAAACTGACTTCAATTCTCATATAAAAATTTAAGAATACCGTGAATTCCTTCATGATCCAATGATCGGATTTAAACCAACTCTGAAGTATCAAATTTCCTTAAAAAAAAAATTAATAATAAAAATAAAAATAATTTATGATGTGCATCCTAATGTTATAAGCTTTTATCATGGCAGAGATACACTCGGAGATTTGTCATTGCCTGCCGAGGGGTGACAGCTGTTAGAAAAAACCTTTTCTAATTTAGTTGTGTCTGGACCAGGGATCGGCCCATGTCCTGCGGAGTGGTAGTACTCCTAGTACTCACCCCAGCGGCCTCCGTAAAAATATAAAAAAATTTAAGAATCTTAATCTCCATTTTTAAAGCGTTCAAAGAAATTAGTACTCTTGCATAAAAGACAGCGCGAAAGCGCACTTGTGAAAGTAAAGATCTGCCATTAGACATTTGTTAAATGCTTCTTTCGTTAAAGCTTTTATTTTTTAGTCACAATTTTGCGCATTAAAAGTGTTAAATTATTATACCAAAGTGATAAATTTTCGGTGGCTGCATTTTGAAGACAATTTTGTTGTTGTAGCAGCATACAAATTCCGCAAAGTGCTTTTGCTGGAGTAATAGTCCTTGGCCGGATATAAATCTGGGTCGTTCCGGTTATGTAGACCAGACTGTCGTAGGAAGACAATCCTCTTCATTGGCGGGGCACATTTCCCGCAACGCGTTATGTTAAGAAACAAAATGGCAGACTCTGCGGTATTTTTCCTTTTTTTTTTGTATGAAACCAGTATGCAAGCATTGAAAAAACGTGTTAAACCCATATTATTGCGGCTCTTGCGTCAAAGCATTGGATTTCCAAGAAAAAAAATCAAAAACCTTGCATTTGAAGGCCTCACGATCAAGGTAATTTTTCATTCAATCTTCTTCTTGCTTGTCGCTGTAATCGCCTAATAAATTTTGGCCGAGTACAGGGCGTTTTATGCCTGTCAGAGACTTCATGGTAAGACTTAGGGGATATCAGCCAAACTGGTGTCCCGTCTTTCAATACGGTAGTAAAAACCGTTGTTACATATGCGGCACTGGCCTGGTGGCCAATAGCTAAGCGAATAAACGCGAGTGCCATCTTGGGCAAGCTGTACCGAGTGGTCCACGTGGTCATCACAGGCGCTGCGCAGCTGTCTAACGGATGCCCTTGACGTCATTACACGCATTCCAGCGTTGTCTATTCTGATTGAAAAAGAGGGCTGCTGGAATGCTCTACGGCTGCTAAATACGATCACCAAAGTGGAGCTCCCCGGGTCATTTGGGGATTTTCAAGGCATTCCTGGATGATGCCGAGTTATCCTTCTAAAAACCGTTCAAGGACGGGAAAGGGGCATGGTACTGCCCACTTATAACTATATAACTTTATTTTACCATCGAAGATGTTTGAAATAGGGATTAAACTACACGTGCTTACCATGTAACGGTAGTATTCGGGAAAGTGAAAAAACTATATATATTTAATACGTGCGCCAGGCATTTAATGTTCTGTTTCGCTCGAACTTAAAACTTTTTAACTTGTTTTTTTTTTTTGTAACTTTGCACTCATTTTTTAATAAACAAATAGGGCTATGGAATATGAAATTTTTGGGTTGTCTATTTTTTCTTGCAGATATGAACAGATAAGTAATAATAGTAATTTTCACAGATGTATTTAAAACATTCTATAGGTTTTATGCTTTCGATTAGCATATATACATACATATGCAATTTGTTCATTAAACAAAGGAGTGTTCTCTGTATCAGACTTATTAATTCTTTGATGAAAACTCCAAAAACTAAAATTTTTAATTACTTCTCTTTGTTATTAAACGTACGTGAAATGAAATCTGATAATATGTGATCAAGCAAATAAAAATTTAAGAATAAGGATTATTTTTGATTGAAAGAATAAATATAATAATATGAAAGAATAAAGCATTAAAATATGAATTAAATGTGATCGAAAAATTAAAAATATATGTAAAATATTTGCTATTTTTGATTAGAATTTTTGATTAGCATTTTTGGTTAGTATTTTTTTTAATGCAGCGCAGGCAGTTCATAACAACTATAAATCACAAACTGATAAAGGAACTGTGGTTATAAATTCAAAGTTTTTGTGGTCATCACTTAACGCAACATATTTTATCTCTAAAAAATATGTAAATATGTACATGCTGAAAAAAAACAATGTACATACGTATACATAGTAGGTATAGCAAGAAAATATTTACATACGAGTTTAAAGTGCCACTATCCCCAAATGCAAGCCTAGCCGATTGAATCTAAAAATTGTTTCTTTTTATGTCTTTCGTGTCTCTTCATTGTATGCTAAAATAATATTTGTAAAGCATTTTCCCAAAGCAAAAAATAAGATAAAGGACGTATCATAGCAATACGGCAACCACGTATAATTTTTTAATTATTTGATTTAAATTATTTGTCTTTTATTGAAATATTTATATTTAGTTAATGGGAATTATGTAAGTCTAAAATTTAACCTTATAAAAAAAAAATCAACAACATTTTTTTTTAATTTTCAAACTTTTTAATTAGAATTTCTAGCAAGCCCATTACTAATTTTATATATTTTTTATACGAACAAAAATGCACAACATTGTTAGCGAAAAAAAAAAATAAAAAAAAACAATGGAAGTTTTTAGCCACTACAAACTTAATGGGCTATGAAGCTGCATACCAAACATTTTTCTAGAAATTTTTATTAAAATTGGAATTTTAAAGAAACTTTGCTGATTTTTTTTTTATTTTAAATTTCAAACTTTGACTTACATATATAGCTTGTGTTATAGAACGAACTATATTTTAATAAAAATTTATAATTAAAATGAAATAATAAAAAATAAATAGTCAGAGCTTGATCATACATATATGGATGTCATATAGTTATGATACGCACCTTAGAAGTCAAAAATTTTCTACAAATAAAACATATAAAAGAGAAAAAAAACTATCGCAACATAGAACGTTGAACGCAAATGAAGAAAATAAGTTAAATTGATTTAAATTGAAAGCGAAGAGCGACACATAAATAAGAGAAATGAACAGGCATGCACAACTACCAGCGACAAACAAACAACTCAAATTTACTCAGAAATGAATGGAAAGCAAACATGTTATTTTATGAGTATAATACGAATACATATACCACAAGCATACATATGTACATACATACATATTTTCACTAATAGATAATATAAAAACATAAACACTAATAAAAGTGAGTTTGTGTTGCAAGTGGACAAATAGTTATACCCAGCCATTTTTTTCCTGTGTGTTTTCAGATCTGAGCGCCAAACAAATTCTTACACAAACTTACATAAGTATAGTACCTACATGCATGAAAATTTGTACTATGATGTAAGTATGTTTGTATGAACGTAATATATTCGGGCTTAGGTCCATGTGTATGAGCTCACAATGAATTACTACAGCATAGTTTCAGTAAGCGGAAGATTGATCGTCATTGCATTTAACTGCATTTGCATATGTGTTCGGCAAAAGTAGTTACAAATACATACTTACATACATACATATGCAAGTGTATACAGAAATGGTGTGTGTACTTTGAAGAATGTTGACTTTGAAGAATTTTGACTTCGAGCGCTGATTTAGTCAAGTCGGTGTAAAAGAAAATAGAATTAGAAAGCACTTGGAAAAACACTTTATTTTCTTCTGGCACACTGAAATATCCGCATAATCTGTAATAATATGACGTATTCTTATTTTTGGCCAATCGTATTGTTTGCCATATCCTGAGGTTAGCGGCGAAAAACTCAACAATTAACTACCTGGTCCTTTCATCACAGAGCAGGCATTCCTCTTCCGCTGCTACCATCAGCTGGTTCACCGTTAAATATTTTCCGTTCTGAAGCGTTTGTGTCCATTCGAGTGACGTGACCAAGCTAGCGAGGCTTGATTATGTCTACATATATTATTCTAGAGCTCATATATTGTGTTGTTTTATCATCTGTGGTAACGAGCAAAGGCCCGTAAATCTTTAGCAGAAGCTGCCTGTTTGTTTGCACTCGTTCGTGAAGTCAGCCATGGAAATTTATGAATATTCTTATGCTGGAGACTAGTACTGCATACCACCAAGTTTCGGAACCCAGAAAAGTTGAGCGCCTCAGTCCATGGTCGGACGTTTCATAGTGGAGGTTGAATTTGGCATTGAAATTGCCAAGCACTTCAATCGGGACGTGGGCGCCGATGAGCGAGATGTTAAAAGAGTCTCGCTCTGATCAGGGCCGGCTTTAGTAGCAATGACGCCCGGCGCATAAATGGAGCGAAGCGCCCTTTGATAATTATGTTTATTACCTCGGTTTATTTTTCTTATACAATAATTATTGATTATAATCAATCGCAGAAATAGTCGAAATATAAAATTCCAATTTTTACTAAATATAATCAAAATTTTCAGATATCAATTAAAAGACGTTTACTAGTAGTAATCTCTAATCCTCTCGCCCTGGATCTGATGCTGCTTGCGGCGAAAAATTCGTTTACCGGGGTGAAGGACAATATTCGGCACCGAAGTCTCTTTTCCACCACAAATCCGATACCGAATTCGCGCTCCTTTACGTGGCAGCTGTAGTAGTCACGTTGCCCAGGCAGCGTATTTGTTGGATGGCGGTGATGTCAGCCTTAGCCATCCTGAGGACATCAACCAGCCGGGCAGATGAACCCTTTCCATTAAAGGCTTCAAAATTCCAAGTGCACCCCCCAAATCATAGTCCTTACAAGTTTACTGTGGTCGTCATAAAAAAAGAGGGTATCATCTGAGGAAATTGCGAACTTTTCATTGGATGTTGTTTTTAGGTGGCGGGTGGCGGGTGGCGACCTCTGGAAGAAAAGAAAATAAAAATATGTAATTCGATTTCTTCCGAAGTTAACAAAATTATCCAGACACTTCGCCCAGAAATCTGTACGAAATCTGTAAGATTTGTCTTATATTAGAAAATGCTTGGCAATTTTTCTAGCTGGGCTGGTGTACATACTTCTTCTGGCAATATAAATTTTTTTACAAACCTCAGAGAAATACCAATTACTCTCTGAAAGTGGCTCGCAACAGCTCAAGAACTGACAAAAGAAACACAAAATGAGCAGTTTCGGAGCACGCGAGCGAGCAGAAAAAACAGACCTACTGCTGGTTTTACTTCAGAATACATATTGGGTTAAAAAATACAGCACTGCTCTGAGACCCCAAGCAAATGTTCAAGTTCTGAGCAGAACACGCCTTTGGTTATTTTAAAACAATCTGTAAAGAAATGTTGTATCTTCAGTCCTCATATTATAATTAGGTACTGTACACAAATTGTGGCAACGATTTATTATATATCATTTAGATAAACTATGTATATATTTCACCATTCTGTACACACATCTTAGTTTAAAAAGCTCGTTTGCTGACTTCGTAATTAATTATTATCTAATTTCATAGTATTACCGATAATCCCCTTCACAGCTATATCAAAGTTGAGTGATAAGTGCCTTTGCTTTTTTTCTAGCCTTTACCTATGGCATTAAGCATTTCTAAGTACATTCACGCGACGTTCGCTATTCTACAGGTGACGATATACTTAAGAGAAATGAAGAGCTTACGATGCCAGAGTTGCGAAGCCTTTGACAGCCGCAGTCTATTCTGTGCCTCCTAAAACCATATGTCAATTCTGTTCCGACCTCTGTGTTGACGATGTCGGCATAAACTATGCAATAAATACTCGCTGAAATAATAAATTTTCCACTAAAACACATTTTATCACGATCGAGTCTTAAGTTGCTAGTGGGTCTTTTTTTTTTTTGATCACCAGTTGTGACCACATTTAATACTTAGAAATGAATTAATGGAATGACAAAAATTCCCAAACATACATACATACACAGGTTTCTTTCACAATATTCATACTTAAATTTAAAGATGTTGTGTATTCGACTTTTGGTTATTATTTCCTCTGATTTTGGACTGCTATTAATAAACCAAATATAATGCTAGAAAATTGACTTGATAAGTTTTTTAAATTTTAGTGATAAGAGTAAAATTAGTAGCCATTAGAATAAATACATACGCGTAAAAATATATGTACATAAATAAGCGTATATGTATGTATTTATGAGTATTAATGTTAGCATTTTTTTTATAAATAGTATATTGTACTTGTATTGATCTGATTAGCGCTATAATACTAAATTCTTATCAATATTAACGTTGCGTCGTACCTTGCCTGCCGCTAACAAAGGCATTTTCTGTTGTTTATTTTCGATGCAAATCATTTACCTTTGATTACCTTGCGTAATTTAATACATAAATGCCATTTTTCGCAAGAAGTCTTCAAATGTAAGATATTTTATGTGAAACGGAGAAGCTAAATAATTAAAGACTCAGTTACTCTAGACTTAATTTAACTTACGTAAGAAATCGTCAATGATTACTCAAAACGTCGACTTAGCCAAAGGCGAAAACATTTTATTTTTGTATTTTCCTTTTAAGCTGATTGTCACTTTGTAGCCACATCAGAAAATTCCTGAACAGAAATATATTGCGTTGGCCAATATATTAGGGTGCGTTACGTAAATTAAGTCTAGACTAACTGAGCCTTAACAAAAGCTGAACGTAGCTCAAAAGTTATTTCAGAATAGACAAATACAAAACGAATCTGTTTGGGTATCATTCTACCCAAAGGTCATATGAGGGGTAATATTTTCAGTACAACTTATTGCATAAATTTTGTTATATGTATGCCACTCTGACCGCTTTATCGCCGCTGCCTTTTTTTGTTTGCAGTTTATGTAAACGCTTCTGTGTCTCTGCCTGTACGCCTGAAGTAAATATTAAAAGCAACTTAAGTTCTATTTATTTATTATTCTTGTCCTTTTAGCACCAACAGTTTGACCAGAGATTTTCTGCGATATTCCAGTTGTCTACAGTTGTAAGTAAATTGAAAAAAATCGGTTAAAAGTAAGGTTATTACACAATATATATCGACATCTTTTTCGAAATTTAATTTTTGATGCAGAAATACTCCTAGAGCTTGAGTTTAATATATTAAGCTGTCATCCCTAGCATTTTTTAAATGAAAAAAGAATACCCGTATTTTTTGTAAAAAAAAGTGATTTTTAGAACTGCCTCAAAGCCCAAGAAGTTTTCCAATGTATTTTTATGTGGGAAAAAACTTTTTCGTAGAAGCAGTAAAAAATTCTCGAAAACCAATATTCTTCGATCGGAAAATTCTGTTTCTCTTAAAGAGACTTCCAATAACAAATAATTTTATAGGTTCCCCAAAAACTCGAAAAAAATACCACAGGGGACCCATAAAAAGTCGTTAGTATTATTGGAAGTCTCCTGAAGAGAAAAATAATTCTAAACCATTTTTACGAAAAAGTGTTTTTTAAATATATATATTTTTTTAACAAAAAAGTACGAATATTCGATTTTGCGTTTAAAAAAACCAATATTTAATATTTTTAACTTTAATTAGTTTTTACTTTTAGAAAAAACCATCATTTTAAATTTTTGAGGCCACCCTGATGCATATTGTCTTACAAAAGTATTTCGCCTTGATTATTTTTTCATTTTGAGGGAAACATTTTCTCATATTGAACTATCTACGATTCCAACAAGTTTCACAACAATCGGTATACCGTTTGAAAATGCTGATACATATTTCTGATGTGTAAGAGACCATGTTCAAACTGTTATTCATGGTAAATTATTTCGTTAATAAGAATATAGCACATTAAACAAAAAAACCATGTAAATAAAAAAAAAATTAATTCGCTATAAAATTGCTTACTCGAATTTTTATAAAAAATCTGATTTCTGAATCTGAAATGTTTGTAATTTTGATGAAAATATGTTGAATATTCCTTATTTTTTTATGTAGATGGTAGAGATGTAGAGCAATATTTTTATAAAAAAATAGCGAAAAAATCTACAATGAAAAACATTTTTAATACCGTAAAAAAATTAATGCAAATACTTCTGTGAGTCACTGTAGATAGAAAAATTTAGAAAGGTATTCTAAAGAATCCGGAATCTTTTCTTATCAGCAAGTTCTTCTATGTATATGTATATTTGTATGACATATCATTAGGTCACTGCACTCACATAGACCCTTCTCCCCTGTGTAAGTCAACTAACTATTGAACTAGACTAATCAATAATATACTCAGGTGATAAATTGATGAGTTGTACGACACGACGTCACTACTTCAAACCGCACTACAATCTTTTGGTACAAAGATGTATTTCTAAATAAAAACACATAAAAGAAATATCTCAACGTCATGTTAGACACAAAATTACGACACTGCACTAATTGTCGAAAATACTTCTAAAATACTTTTACACTTACAGACGTCTGACACTTGGGCACACTTGCGTAAAGTAGCAGCTATTTTCTAGAAAAAAATAAATAAACTAAAACCAGAAGAATATTTTTGAAGGAAAAAATAAATAAAAAATTTGTATTAATTATCTATTATTATAAGTGCCTTTTTCTCAAGTAGGGTTTAAAATTTATTTGCTGTTGAATTTATTTTTTTTTAGAGCAAAATTTGTGTTTAAAGGGTAGATAAATTTTTGAAACCTGATTGAGAATGCGGCCATTAGAAACGTATAAATACGAATAAATGTATGACCGCTCCTTTGTCATAGGTGTATTTGTTTGTTTATATTTAATGCTTCTTTAAGGTAATCGGATTGGAGCCCCATAGCTGACCTAACTGAAGTGATTAAAAAATTCTAGCTTGTTTCGATGTTTTTTTTTTCTAAGTTCTTTTTTAAATTCGAAAATATTTTGACATGATTAAAAGAGCACGTCGTTTTCACATTACTTGAGATGATTGTTTTATGTCATATGTTTTTAATATTTTTTCGTTCTATATAACAGATTTCATGACTCAAGGCCAATTGTGCCTCAACTTGTGCTCCAATTCCTTTGCACATACATACATACATACATATGAATTTGTGTGGTCAGAATTATTTTCACAAATAAGTCAGAAAGCGAGTATGTACACACAGTTTTAATAAAAATTTATCGCTCACTGATAGCCGCTATTGATTCATGAACGAAATGTATATTCAGAATACGCTTACATATTGGATCCTTAGTTCAATTAAATTCACTTTTTTCTGTTATACTACAACCACAGTTGTAGAGCAAGAAATTCACATAAAAAGAAAATATGTACGTATGTATGTACAAAAGCAAATACATTGTACAAAGATTACATGGAATATTTCTTCAGCACTTGCTAAGTGTTTTCGTCTCAGTCGCTTACGAATTCGTCGCTACTAATTGGCTTTAATTGAAATAAACTACTTTAAATTTTTTTCGATCGGAGTCATAAGTTTACGCTTTTTTTGTTGGGGACTTGTACATACATATATATATATATACATAAATGTATGTATGTAGATTCGGTCATTTCTTATTTTACAATGCAGTGAAATATATTTCGTCCAATATCTACGCTATGTTAACTTCGCACCTTCAATAGATATATTTTAGAGATCTGAGGATAAAAAAAAAACGGATTCTATACTTAAGACTAGTGAGTACCCTCAACTGCTCTGAAGAAAGCATTGATCCAAATGTTCAAGAAGTACATTCGTAGATATTTCAGTTTTGGTATCTAGACCAAATATAATTCAAAATATTTATAAAAAGTAGGTGATAGTGGTAAATCTGGCAAAGGAACCGATTAGCTCAATCACAATCACCTGCAATATATTCCGAGATCATACCGGAAGTTTTTCATTTACTTTCAAATAGTATGTCGCTTATACTTTTGTTCTAAATGGCTCTATTTTCGCAAAAAAAAAAATAGAAATTGGACGATATGGAGCACTAGAAAAGGTTACTTACCAATGGAAATTTTATCTAATCAGCTGAAATACCTTTGAAAGTTGGAAGCCGAAACATGTAAAAAATATTAATACATATTAAATAATTTCGATACCAACAAAATCTTTTGAGGCAAAATCTTGACAAAGTAGAACTTCAGTAGCATTTCATTTAAATCGGTGTCATTTACGAAAGGTTTCGAATAGCCCACTAAGTCTCTATTTTGTTTAGATTCGAAAGTCTCAGGGCACTCCCAAGAGCTTATTTTGCCATGATTATGGTATCTATGTAATGAATCCAAACGTCTCTATGGGAGCATGGCTCATCCGTGGCTCCACCAACCAGGAGCTGGAGCATACCCAGAGTAACGCCGGAACTTACTTACATATATGGCTTTTTCCCAACAGAGCAGTATATATAATTTTCGGTTTTACCGCCACATTAGATTACCGGTATGCCAATTTCGGGTATATTCCCCTAATTTTTACAATGAAGTCTTTGACAAACATAAATGCCATTGTAAGTTAATTTGAAACCGCTGTGAGATTGACTAACTGTGGAGTCTTTTATCTAGTATCACCCTTAGATATTTCGCCTCTATGAGAACTCAATATCTCTGTTCCTCCGAATTAAGTTTAGTCAGGTTGAAGCTTCTTTCTTTTGGTGAATGGGACGACGATGGACTTCAGTGGCAAGCTTTTCTAGCTCACTATTTTCTTCAGGTTTTTCTGCATTCCCTAGAGCATATGATCTTCTCATGCCAGCCTATAACATAGTCGGCCAGGATATCTGCAGAGTTATGCTTTAAATCCATTGCCTTGTAGAACAAAGCAAAATTTCCACTTTGAGATGCGCGCTGACTTTCACATATTGTCTTGGTTTTAAGGTAGGTATCCCTGGTGTAAAAGTTAAATCGCCTTCCAAGGTTTTGATTACAAATGAGCTGAGACTAATTGGTCCATTCGCCTTAGCGAGATTATCTAATCTTTGCCCCGCTTTGGGTATGGTTGAGGCTAGGCTGGTGTCTGACTTCAAAATAAAAGCAAATGCTGTTAAAATTTGCTTTAAATCGAAGCAGTGAATGGTTTAACTTCATTTTGGCATATTTTGGGAAAACATAAATCCTTCATGTTACTTTATCTTTTCTTTAGCAAGGGTGCGAAACAATAAATCTCCAGCTACCGGAAACACACACGAGCGCCTCATGCAGCTGTGCATCGCGATCTGTGGGCTATCCAAAGCACCTGTTAAATGGATATTAATTACAATGCCAAAATCCATGAATTTGACAAATGTCGACCACTAACTACAAATGCACATAAATCCATTCACAAATATTTACTAAGTGATTAAAATATTTGAAACTAATTCCACAACCACCCACGTTCGCCTAGGAATATACGTGCATATGTATGTATCTACATAAATATGTATGCAGAAGTGTGAATGTTTGTGGTTATTTATGTAAACAAAACTTTTCAATATTAATTTGTTTATGGAAAAAGGCAAGGTGCCTGCATTAAAACAGTCATAAATAAACTGCAGTTACAACATTGGGACGCATTAAAATACCATATGATTGAAATCAATTAAAATACCGCAATGTAAAAAGCAAAAACAAAGCAAATTTTCCAATACGAAAGTGAAGCAAAAATTACACAAAGCACACCCGCATGCGGTATATTTACCAGCAGATGGAGATTTACAAACATTTCATATTTGAATGAAATATACCTTTGGGGCTGGCTGGCTATAAGCAAAAAATCCAAAAATTTGGAAATTTGAAAAATTGTGAAAATTTAAGTGGAGGCCAAAATAAAAATAAAATATTGCTGCCAAATGTGCACAAAGCACTTTGATTTGAAATTGGAAAAAAAAATTGTTTCAATCGCGAGCTTATTCGTATTTTACGAACAAAAAAAAACATATGAGAAGTGGGCTTATTAATAATTCCTAGAAGTGCTTTTATGGTAGAGCTACAAAAATATAAATAACAATAATTCATAAAAATCGGTCAGCAGATGGTCACTCCGAGTGTAAAATATCCTGTACAGGGCACAGGCATACAAGTATAGTGT